GTTGCTATTGCCGTAGGTGTCTAGAATTATGATCATAGAAAAGATTTCATAGTCAGCAAAGAAATGTAATAGATTAATATTGGTTAAAATTCTAATTGAGTGAAAGTTCAAATTCCAATGTTACTATGAAAACCATTAAGAACATAATAAAAGAGATTTTATCTTTTATTTACATATTTTGATGATGAAAACAGATAGTATGATAGGACATTAATCATTATTCTATGTTTATTAGGAATATCATAGATTTATCATTACATACAATGACTTGTACAACTATTCGATTTGGAGTATTTTTCACTGGCATAAACGCTTTACTAAGAATTTAAATAGTGATATGTGAAGTTGAAAGTGATTGATTGTTTTTCAAGGATACTACCTAAGGAAAACCGAATTTTTTCAGCTGTTGAAGTTCTCATATAGAATTCTATTTAAATTATTTAGAATGATAGAGCAAATAGTCCTTGAAAAAAATGAAATGTCTTACAGCTCTTTACAGTCTTGTTTGGCCGGGATGCATTAATGTTACGGAAGGTATAAAAACTATGTTTTTTTCTGTTGTTTCGTACGGAAACATCATTTTTATGCCTTCTGTAAGATTAATGTATTACGACGAAAAAATGTCGGAGAGAGCTGGAAGACTATTCATTTTGTACAGAATTGTTTACTCTACTATTCTAGACAATTCAAACAGAATTCTATTTGCGAATTCCAACAGCTCAAAATCTTAGTTTTTGATTTTTCAGATATCCTTCTCTTGGAAAACTATCAATAATTTTCATCCTAAAAAATTATTATCGGGAATAAAAGTTTTTAAAAAGATGACAATTTGAATTGTCATTAGGGTTTATAACCGTGAAAAAAAATCGAAAATAAACTTAGTTGAATAATTTTCCCAGCTACCATATCTACTTCAATCGCCTATTTTTCCTTAAGAACAAGATAAAAAATTCAAAAATTTACTAGATAAGTTGATATAGGAAGTAATCTAAATTTCATGTTGTCTGAATAGATTATAATAGTGACTTCAATATTAAATAGAGAGAACACATGTAATAGTTTACATTTTTTTTTACTTCGACATAAGTTGAAATTTTGTAGTTGACTACCAAAAGCTTATTCAGAAGTCTTTTAAGTCTAATAAATAGGTTTCAACTGTATACAGTCAGCATGAGATTAAAATTAGAATGTTTTTTAGATTACAATTAAAAAAAATATTCAGAAGTAAAGCTCATTTCTCCATTAGTTTAATTAAAGCTTAAAAATGAATTTCATTATTACACATTCATAACTACAAGCTACTGACATTTACATCATGACTAGTGTCAAAACCTGAATCACGCTCATTTGTTGTTATAGTTTTTTTACCCTAGACGAGGCTTTTTTTGATTATTAATAAAAAGCTGTTAGCGTAATTCCTGCAGGATTAAAGTGTGAAATACGAATTAACTGCTCTTGCTAATCACACTGTAGATTGTTTTATTCCATCTATTTGAGGGACATATTTCATCACCAGGGTTTTATCTAATGCTCCAGAAATGCAAAAAGGAAGCAATTCATATATTAGAAACGAGATGTTCGATTTATAACCGTATATTAATGTCTATCACGGTCTGTGAAGCAGAAAGAGTGTTGTTAAGGTGCCTGTCACGATTCGTGATTATCTCAGACTAGCACCTGTCATAGTCTTGGCTAGAGCTCAGCGGTGGTCCAACCCTTCAGACTTCGAAAGGGTGTAAAAACGTTTTGACTGAGAGAGTGTGTATTTAAAGAAAAGCAATAGATTTCTGGTTGACTATTGATCAAAGTTATACTTTACAGAAAACAGAATTAATCAAAAAACTCCCTAGAATTAAGTTTTAAGTTTTTAACATATGATTGCGCTTATACAATAGATAATATTTACTGAAGCAATAATTCTTCGTCGGTTGGTAAAAATCTTGCTAGTGTGTCACTGTTTTTCAAAAACTAAATCGTCGTCTAATGTAACCTATGGTGTTTGTTAAAAAGTCTTTTTGTCACTGAGTGTGGCCACACTCGTGACGATTGTTTAAAAACAAAGTTCTTTAGACGTAAAAGAACTATAACCAATTGTCGTAACAATACATCAGAGTTCTTAAGTCGATTATAATTGTATAGACAATATTTTTTCGCAAATTGAAAAAATATCCAATTATTGGAGGATGTCACACCTCCTAATACCTTCCAGTCAATCCACCACTGCTAGAGTTTGTTGCAGCCTAAGATTACCTGTGAATAATGTCTATGATAATGTCGGACTAGCGCCTGTCATGGTCTGTTGGAGGAAAGACTCCAAATTTTTTCTTCTATACTTCAATACTCCTTGTAGATCTTTTTTCACAATACAATCATACTTGATTTTTATTTGATTCTGATGAATCTTGCTGCTGTTGTTGTTGTTGTGTTTTTCCTGGTAAAATATGTAATAAACGACCCTGAAAAGCATGTCCATCAAGTTCATTAAAAGCTCTTAATGCATGTTCAGGAAACATAAATGTAATATGAGCAAAACCTTTTGGCTGTTTTGTTAAACTATCAATAGGCATATTAATATTTGTTATTTGTCCAAATGGATTGAAAAGTTTTTCTAGATCTTGTTCAGTTGTTCTATATGAAAGATTTCGTACAAATAATTCTCCTGTTTCACCAATTGATTCATTGATAGGTTCAAATGTTTTGATTTGTTTTTTATGATTATCATTTATTGTTTTATTTAATAAATTTTTATTTTTAATATATGATGTTAATTCTAAATAACGATGTTCACCTGTTTTTTTTATTGTTAAAATAGTTTTTTGTTTAAGCATTGCTTTATTCATATCATTTTCATTTTCAAGTTCTATCCAACAAACTCCTGTTAAAGAATTTGTTTTACGATTATGAATTAAACGACAACGAATAATTGGTATTGGAGAAAAAAATTGACGAATATCACGTTCTTTTGATGTATATGGTATACCATGAATTTTAATTAAATAACGAGGTTTTTTAGGTTTTTCTTCTTCAGGAGGCGGAGAAGAAGATGGAATTGGTTGATTATCAATTAGTTTCGATGATTTCTTTTTATCATCTTCAGTAGTTTTCATTGAATCATTCCATATAATTTGTTCACTTTTTTTCATTGAATCAACATTTTTAACAAATTCTTTAAATTTTTCATCGTATTTAAGATCGCCAAGTATTGCATCAACTAATTGATTATTGTCTTTGTTTTTTTTTGTTTTTGTTTTTGTTTTAATAATTTCTGTAGATTTTTTTATTGTTTCAGGATTTTCTTGAGAATATTTACTCCATGGTCTTGGACGATTATTATCATTTAAATCAAAACATTGTTCAACAATTATTTTTGATGTACCAATATAAGATTTATTTAATTTTTCAATTGCGCGTTGAGATTGTTCTTCGTTTATAAAACCAACAAATGCAAAACGACGAAAAATACCATCTTTGGTATATTTTAATTGTAGATCTGTTATAGATCCGAATGGTTCGAAATGTTTACGAATTTGTTCTTCTTTTACCTAGAGAATTTAAAAAAATATTTTATCTAACTGAATTATAATTTATTTTTAAAAATAGAAACAATAAACGTTATAATTTTACGATTGGTTTTTAAATACTCAACTTCCTAGATGATAATATTCATTTATGATAATCAAACAGAAAACTATTCAAAAAAAAAAAATATCGATGGTGTTTTCGAATGTTTTAATTATGAATATGCAAACAGAAAATAAAATCATTTAAGAATTCTAAATGCATGGTTATCGACATTTCGGATATAGAAGTCTGAATTCATAGATTCGCAGTCCTACAAAGTTCTATGTTTGTTCGTATTTGCCTACTGAATAAAAACAAAAGATTTGGGTATCGAAACAGTTTTTCAGAATTAATTTCAACTATCGAAAATTAAATCGTTTCAACACTCGAAATCATTTTCAACATTTACATTGTATTGATTATAATCATCAACTATGGATAATTGGCGATAGGATTTCAATGATTTTCCTTTAAAAAAACGCCAAAACATAAATTTATTTCACTAATAATTTTCATACATCAACGAAGGAAATCAATTGATAGCATATCTCATATCATACAAAACGTATATTTGAACTATAATCTAGTTGAAGTATTCTGCCAAGAAAATAGAGATAACATTGAAAACGTAGTTATCACCGTCAGTTTCACATATTTTACATACTTGTTTTGGCAAGTTTTTGACGATTACACGAGACATGATCGATAATCTAAAACGAGACAAATTTCTTAATTGTCATATAGACCGCAATATTGTATAAACTAATTCATCTGTTTATTTCTCCTGCCAAAAAACGAATATTAAATAGATTCTATTCGATCATACAGTTTTCTAATGAATAAAATAAAATTCAGCAACTTAATCAATGTTTTTCTTAAGCATTCAAATCGTCAAATACGTTTTCCATAAAAGATTTCGTGCTATTTTCGCATTGAAGAAAATCATAATTGCTTTAACGATTTTGATTTGTACATAGCATTCTACAATTAAAATTTGATATATGAATCTTCTTGAAGAAATATAAATACAAATTAATTAAAATAATTCTAATTCAATTTCGCAATATTTTTCACAGAATGTTCTTCTCTTTTCGAGTTTATTCGAAAAGATGTCGCTAGTATATTGCTGATTCTTCGCTCTATATTTTCCCTTTTTACAATAAAAATTATTTTTTTCTCTAAGGATTAGTAATCACATTGATTTCGTTACATTTGTTTCATTTCTCTCACATTTTTTGTTGCTGATATTTTCATTGCTTACACGCACGATCGACGTCATCCGAAATGTATCGCTGGACCAATCAAATTTAGACAGCATATTCACCCATCAGCACAGAGAAAAAAAACGTATGTATTACTTCAACAATCTTCATTTCAAATAAATACGACTCGCTTTCTAAAACAGACTCATTCATTAACACATCATACGGTCATTAAACATGAAGCTCTTCGCTACTCTTGTTATTGTTATTATTGCTTTTACATTTTCTTTCGCAGCTGAAGAAGCTAAGAAAGGTACGCTTTCAATTATATATTCATCAAAAGCTTAGTTCATTTTATTTACTTAGATATTGGAACCGTGATTGGTATTGATCTTGGAACAACATATTCATGTGTTGGTATTTTCAAGAATGGTCGTGTAGAAATTATTGCTAATGATCAAGGTAATCGAATTACGCCATCTTATGTAGCATTTACATCTGATGGTGAACGATTAATTGGTGATGCAGCTAAAAATCAATTGACATCAAATCCAGAAAGTATGTTTAGCTTTTTTATTATTGAATTTATATTTCTATGTAATAATAAATATGTTTAGATACTGTATTCGATGTTAAACGTCTTATTGGTCGTGAATATAGTGATCAAAGTGTTCAACAAGATATTAAACATTTTC